ATTAAATTATCTTCTTTCTATAACAATTTTGAATTATTATCAGTTATAAGTCTCTATTGTATATTTGCATTTAAAATTTAGAATTAAATCAATGTAACTCTTTTCCTAATGAAGGCCATAGAATCCCCGAAACATGTACCAACGGTAAGAATCCTCCATTTTTGAACTGATCTGACTCTTGGGCATGAAGAGTCTGGTACTTTCTGTAGTAGTGTAAGGAGTCGCCTATTTTTCCAACTTTTATAACGATGGATTGCGTATATTAGTTCTATATCAATCTACTTCTGTGCGCAGACAAAAGTTATATTATCAAATTTATTCAACTATTTTCAATATTTTCCTTGTTTTTTTTGTGGCGTTTTGAAATTTCTCTTTGATTGGTTTTTATTTCTTTGTAAAGATTTTCTTTTGTTATTTGTTGTTGATATCAATGAAGATTCTCAATCTAAACATGATGCAATAAACAACGGATGTATTTAGCCAGAGGCACCCATCTGGTAGGCGATAAATTCATTCTCTTTAAGCAGACTTGGCGTGGAATACATTGTAAACGAAAGAAAGAAAGAAAGAAAGAAAGAAAGAAAATTTTCAAACCTCGATAGAATACAGGATAAACGAATAAACCGGTCAGTATAAAATAAATACGAATATTTTTTAAATATTACTCAAGTGTGACAAAAAGAAAGAAAGAAAGCATGAAAGAAAGAAAGGGAGGAAGAAACAAACAAACGAAAAAATGAAGAGAGGAATGAAAGAAAAACAAGAAAAAAGAACATCAGACAAATTGAGTTTTATATTTTATTCATTTGGACGATTTCTGATTTTTAAACATCAATATATCAATAACCTAAATTATCTCTCTCTTTCTCTCTCTCTCTCAATCTCACGCACACACACAGACACGCATATACGCAATAGTGATGATTGAAATTTCAATAAAGTCGCATCCGTCTTCCTGTTAATTTTATCACGAAGTAAATTTTCGCTAATTTTTCAATTATCTTATTGCTTAAACCTCCTCCTTCTTCTTCTTCTTCTTCTTCTTCTTCTTCTTCTTCTTCTTCTTTTCGTCTCCTTTTTCTTCTTCCTGCTAATCCTCTTTATCCTCTTCCTTCTTTTTCCTCCTAATCTTCTTCTTCTCCCTCTTCCTTCTTTCTCCTAGTACTCTTTTTATTCTTCTCCTCTTCTTCTTTCTTCTTCTTCTTTTTCTTCTTCTTCTTTTCCTTCTTCTTTTTCTTCTTCTTCTTGCTGCTACTGTTCTTCATCCCGTACCCCTTTCCTTCTCTTACCCTCCTCCTCCTCTTCCTCCTCCTTCTCCTTCATTTTATTTATTGTTTACATAACTTAAACTTAGGCAGTAATATATTTCCTGAATTTTATTTCTGTTCGTTTTTCTTTTTCTATTTCTTTATTTTTACTTCTAAACGTTAAATCTTATTTTATTTTTTTCTTCATTCATTATCTGGTTGATTGTCTCTTTCTTTCTTTCTTTCTTTCTTTCTTTCTTTTTTCTTTCTTTACTCCCTGACTGATTCTTTCTTTCTTTCTCCTCTGAATGTGACTTTTCTTTTCTTTCTGTTTCGCTGTATTTTTCTTCTCTTTTTTTATTTTTATTTTGCTGCAGTCTTTTCTCTTCAGTTCACTTCTTGAACAAATGCAGCGTTATGATGAACACCTCAAACGAATGAGGTTTTTGTCGCAACTGTGAAGTAGCGAAAATTAAGCAATCACCGCCGGCAAGAGCACAAGAGTCATGGCGTCCGCGACTCTAAGTGGCGCCCTCTGTCAGTGGGTTGAAGAGAATGGATACCTAATCAAGATGTTCTTTACAGACAATGATGGAAAGACAGAAGGAAATGAATGAATGAAAAAAACAAACATATTCTTGAAAGAAACATGAAGGTAGAACAGAAGACATCGAACCGGGGGGAGTTGACCTTCCAGGAAAAGAAGCCGGGAGGACGAAAGAAGTAGAATATAAAACCATTCAGTTTTCAATTACGACGACCAAATTACGTCTAAACAGAAAGAAGAAGTTTAAGTCGACTTGCAAAAAAAATGGCGGGAGAAGAGAACGCAGTGAAGGAGAAAATGTAATATCAAATGAAAGAGAAAAACAAGAAAGTAAAGTTTGTAGAAGAAAACTATGTACATGCATGATATGCATGAATATATATATATATATATATATATATATATATATATATATATATATATATATACGTAAGTATACGTGGTTAGCGAAAGAGAGAGCAAGAGAAAAGAGAAAAATTAAAGAGAAGAAAAGGAATGATCTCATTCATTGACCCTTATAATATTTTATATGGACAGTTTCAATGTTTTTTTTCACACAAATTTTCCAACTCTCTAATTTTCATGACCAAAATCCTCTTAATTCCCATTACATGTCAAATGGTATATATATATATATATATATATATATATATATATATATATATATATATATATATATATATATATTATTGGGTTATATATATATATATATATATATATATATATATATATATAATGGACTCTCCCGTCGGTTTCGACGTATGAGGATCTGACAGCTTATTAATTCAGTTATGAAAGTATGTGAGATAATCTTAACTGGCATTTAAGACCCGCTAGTGATTTACAAAGGAGGCCACATATGGAGCAAGTGTGAGGATTGTGAAATGAGGTCACTGTTAGATTGACTGACCTTTTAGATCTTGCTCTCGCTTCTTGAAGATGATTCAGACAAGCAGATTGAAAATTGCTGAGTCGAGTCAAACACGTTGATCTCTCTCTCTCTCTCTCTCTCTCTCTCTCTCTATATATATATATATATATATATATATATATATAATGCTAAAATGTTTCTTTACCTCTAAATAAATTATATAGTTTTTAAAAATTTCTAGCCACATATGATTTTTTTTAAAATAACGGGTGTGTTAAATCTCAAGTGTGTTTTTGTGTATATGTCTATATGTTATGTAGTGTTTATGTATCTCTCTGTCTGTGAATTTTTTAGCTTAATTTATTGTACGTTTTCGGAGTCTGTAATCGTTGTAGCTGAATGATATTATACCCCCCCCCACGACACTCATCATTTCCAGTCACACAACTCAAGACGGAAGATTCTTTGTTGCTTTGAAATAGATACACATGAATGTTGACTCACTCAGCTAATCCCGACGAGCCCGACCCTCGGAGTCGCCACACACACACACACACACACACACACACACACATATATATATATATATATATATATATATATTGTAACCTAGGGAAGGTTACTGAGTAGAATAATCACACGAAGGTTGGTAATGAACGATAATACTTAGAACACGAGCACCACATATATGATTCGCCAGCGATGCGTAAAAGAAGTAGTCAACTGTTAGAAGTAAGTTAAGTGAATTTTACTTTGAATCTCCAACTGCAGAATATCTACCAACCACCCCACGCGGTCAGATGTGGCACAATGCCGAATTTAATATGGGGTATCTGAGCCCGTAGGCTCGGCCAAAAATTCCCCGGGTAGCTGTTTCAAAAAAATTCCTCGGGTAGCTGTTTCCCGAGACGAGATTCTGCCCTTCGACGTCTGGGGATCCTCTCTGCCCGGAGGTAGAGAGTTTGACCAGAACAGCTGGAGTCGAATTTCCGACTGCAGACCAACATACAGTATTTACTACTGTATTTATGTGAATAGAGACATACCCATTATCATCTTTAGGTATGCTACAACAATATATATTGTAAGATAAGGAAAAAATAGGAAGCGTTTATACATCTAACATATTTCGCCTTTATTAAATCTTCGTCGAAGAATGAGATAATTATCTTGCTGCAGGATGCTAGTATTGATTGGTTAAATATTAAACACCATTGTGTTATGGGAATCAACGCTTTGGAGAGTAAATATTTACAGGCTCCTGAGAAATTTCTCCCACAAACAACATTGGCTGATTCAATGTGAGTCAAATTAAAAAAAAATGAGTAACATAAACTAATAAATATAAAACGACAATGCATGTATTAATAAAGGAATTACATGTGATGAAAGAAAAAAACATGAAATTGCTATAATAATGTGCTTATTTTTGTGTGTTTGTGTGTGTGTGTGTGTGTGTGTGTGTGTGTGTGTGAATCTGCGTGTTTAACAAGGGTGTGGGGACAGTACAAAAGTCAACAGAGAAAATCTTGTAAATGAAGGTGACCCAGTGGGGTACACTTTACCCACATGCAACTACATCTAAAAACGAGAGCTAAAACGCTGTAAAAAATCTAGGGATAGAAATACATGTCTTTTAAAGAACGCTCCCTACCGTCGATTTTTTGGTAGATTCAAGTGGAATAACCCACTATCCCATTCTCTGATAAAGCTTTAATAGAAGGGAAATATTAGATTTATAAACGCTTCCTAGTTGTTCCTTACCCTATAATATATATATATATATATATATTATAGGGTAAGGTGTGTGTGTGTGTGTGTGTTATAGGAAACTATTAATATATACCTTGATATTTTAGTTGACAGTTGACAGGTATTGAGTATGACTAACGCAAGAGCGTAATCATCGTTAGTTAATTTGGATATTTAGAAAAGGCCAGGTGATCAAACACACCTAATGGATTTATCACGGACATGGACATACCTCCACGCATTACTACATTTCCCTGTCACATATATGATAGAAATATATTTTTATGGTATGCTATATTTATGGCAGCTCTCAGAGATAGAGCGTGTGTAAATATAAAAGTAGACACTGACGTCAAAACATGGCGGCGATAGACTGTTTCATGCCTAATCGCAATCTACAAGACATGTGTGTTTTGTTTTGTCTCGACAATTTATATATATTGACCATTGTGTAATGATAAAATAATCATTAGTCGAGGATCTATATTATTATTATATATTATAATATATATATATATATATGTGTGTGTGTGTGTGTGTGTGTGCGTGTGTGTGTGTGTGTGTGTAATGAGGAATAAGTTCCTTAAGAACAACTGAGTATCTGAGATTGTTTGAAACCTGGAAAATCATGCGAAACAGCGAAATAATAATAATAATTGTAGTGATTAAATACGAATATTTGAACAAATGATGAGCGTTTAATGAAAAGAGAAGAATCGATTGAGAATAAGAAAAAGAGAGAATAAGGGGCCGAATGAAAAAACGAAAATAAAGAAAGAAAAACAAAAAAATGAGAAAATAGAAGTAAAAACGACAAAAAACTTTGTATATTTAATAAAAATGAAAGAAAGAAAGATAATGGAAAAAAAAAAAAAGGATGAAAAAAAATGAAAGAAACAAAAATGAAAAAGAAAGAATATTTTTCAGCAAAAGGGATGACGAAATGACATTGTAATCGAAATTCAAGAAGAACATGAATATCGGCGGAAATGCAATTGTTAAAAAAAAAAGACAATTCTTTAAAAAAATCAAAGGAAGAAAAAGGAAACAAAAGAATTATTTAATCAAAGGAAGTTTGTTTGTTTTTTCAAGAAAAAGAACGAAAGATTAACAATAAAAGTAAAGAAAGAAATGGGTAGAGACAATTGGAAATTCACTTTTGCGGGAGAGGAGTATAATACCATTCATTTGAAATTTTAAGCTCACTTATACGAGATAAGCATACAAAAAGAGGTTGATCAATAACCCGGATACATTTTTGCATATACGTACATATACAGGCATCGATAATTAAGCTGATGAACGGACACGTTTTGCGTATACGGATATATACAAACATCGATTATTAAGCCCATAACCGGACACTTTTTTGCCTATGCGCACATATAGAAGCATCGATTATTAATCCCATTACCGGACACTTTTTTGCATATACGCACATATACAAGCATAGATTATTAAACCCATGACCGGTCACTTTTTTGTACATACGCACATATACAAAGTTCGACCTAGAGGCTCATGACAGGATACATTTTTTTGCATATATATAATAGATGTACATTTTTTTTTGCATATACACCCACGTCAATCACTACGTACATAGCCAGATAGATTTTGCATAGATGCACACATACAAACGTCGATCAATAATTCTATAGCCAATTGTTTATTACCTTTATTTTGTCCAGAAATTATGTGTATACCCACACACATACCACTTTCGTAATGAAAGATTCATAAAGGCACACAGAAAACACACACGCACAACACAAACACACATATTCAATCATATGCATATATAAACAACACACCCCACCATATTTAACCTGATTTAATGAACAGCGGGGAAATGGGGAGCGGGGAAATGGGGAGCGGGGAAATGGGGAGCGGGGAAATGGGGAGCGGGGAAATGGGGGGAGAGAGGAAATTTGATTACACTGATCCTTCAAATTTTCTTGTTTTGAAATTCAGCATTCGAGATCCAGAGCTGGGCACGAACTCCGACCTCCGTGCTTCTATTTTACTCATGAAACAATACCTACAAACACTTCTCCTGCAGCGTCATAAGAACATTGATTTATTCAAAAGTTGAAGATGGGCAAATACACGAAATAGTCGATGCACACACGTGCACACATATAGAGGATGCGATGAATAAATTGTTGTCTAAATTACACAAAATGGAAAATAACACTAACATTTCATTTTAACAAATATGTTTACCAAAATTACGCAAAAAATATCTTGAAATACTAAAGAGTAAATTTATTCAATAAAGTCGCCATTGGCTTCAACCACAGCCTCTAGACGACTTCGGAATCTCCTGCATATCTTGCCTTCAGTTCATCTTTAATCTTACAAGGAGTTTTATTTTCAACTGAGCGACACACATAATAATCAAGGGGGTGGGTGCAGTCTGGGAAATTAGGTGGGCAGATGTAAGGTTTGACGTGGTCGCTGAAATTGTCTGACAGCCATGACTGGATACTCCTGGTTGTTTGGTGTGATGCATAATTCTGTTGCCAAATATAGAATCTTCCAGCAGACACCCTCTTAACCCAGGGCAGCACTACCTCTTTAAGGCCTCCGTGTTGAGTCTAAGATTCTCACCAACAAATTCGGGCGTACCTTTCTTACCAGAACGATCAGAGTGAGATTTCCGAGATGCCGTACGTTCGTTATCACCATTAGACTCATCCAACTCTTTCCGAATCCTCTGAAATGTCCTCAGATTGACACCCAAACACTGTAAAATGTTCGTATTGGAGCTTCCGACACGAATGCCAAACAGTACAGCATCCTGTTTCCAAATTTTGGGCAGAGTGAATTGTGTCATGGTGTTCTGTTTCTGATAGACGGTGCCCAATTGATCTTACTATAGTGTTCAGTCGACGAAATCAAAAACAAACAACGCGCATGCGCGAAATTAAAAATATAAAATAGCGACAATTTACTCATTGCACACTGTATATGAGCGAGCGCGCGAGCGCGCGCGCCCGTGTGTGTGTGTGTATACACCCAGTCACTTTCCAGTCAATCTTGATAAAATTTCGGCTAATGGCCCCGATATGTTTGTAATATAATTGTGTTTGGAAGTAGACAGTAGGAGAACTCTGGGCCAGGAAGAAAGCATGTTTAGTGACAACATTAGAGTCACGTCGAAAGAATAGAGAAAGAAATCTTTTCACCTTGAAATGTTTAGTGTCTAATTGAAAGAAAGAAAGAAAGAAAGAAAGAAAGAAAGAAAGAAATATAAATGAAAGTGGTTGAAAGAGACGGACGCAAAATTTAATAAAAAAAAACGAAATATTATAGAAAGAGAATGAAAGAAAAATAGAAAAAGATAAAGAAACGAAGAGAGAAATTAACAGAGAAGAAAGAAAGGAAAAAGAAAGAAGAAAAGAAAGAAAAAGAATAGAGCAAAAGCAACAAAAAGAATGAATAATAAAAAAACAAAGAAGCTATCCTTGAAAGAGACAAGGAAAAAAAGCAACGAATGAAAGATTCTTATAAAATGAAATACATTTAATAAATAATAAGTGACAAAAAGAGGAAAGCCAGAAGAAAAAAGACAAAGAAGTCAGACACAATGATAGAAAGTAAAACAACAAAAACTATGCTAAGAAAAATATGTTAACAAAAAAGAAAAGAAAAAAATAATAAAAAAGGTTATAATTAGAAAACGAAAAACAACATAAAGAAAATTAGCGAAGAGAAAAGACAAAGAAAATTAGCGAAGAAAATGCGAGAAGCAAGCGATGACATTAAATATGGTCGAATGGTTTCGAGAGTGTGAACAGACACGCTAAAGAAAGCAGACAGAAATAAGACTATGAAAATAAAATGGTGCCTTGGTGTACGGCTGCTTGATTGAGCGCAAGTGAAATTTGGTCAGGCGTGGGCAGCAAGAAAATGGTAAAAGCTGGGCAATTGGATGAAGACCAAGTTTGAGACTGCAAATTGGGAACAGAAAAGCATTTTTGGAATGGTAAGGCATTTGCCGGAGATTCCTTGGAGCGCTCAAGACGAGGTGGAGTAAACAGAGGAAAATGATTTGTTCAATCAAGGTTTCAAGAGAGGAAAGAGAATGTCGGCCACTGAAAAGAAAAGAGAGAGCAATGTGAAGTAAAGAGACTCACCGGCTTATATAGCAAAAGACAGGGAAATCATGGCAGAGTAAATTACAGTTTTGTTTTGATTTTTGCCTCTGTGGATGGATCATTAGAAAGAGAGATGGGGGAAAGTTGCATCAGAAACAGAACGAGATGATAGGAAAAAAAAATAAATGAGATGAGAAAAGGAATTTTTCTTGATGACTTGACCGACGAAAATCAGTGACTTGAAAAAGGAAAGAAAAATCACAGGAAATGCTAAGTAAAAGATTCTCAAGAATCTAGAAAAAACATTAAAGAAAAGTAGAGTCAGAAAGAAAAAGAGAAAAAAGTAAAGTAACTTAGCAAGGAAAAAAGAGAAAAAGAGAAAAAAGTAAAGAAAGAAAAGAAGAAAAATCAAGAAAAAAAGAGAAATTCAGAAAGAAAAAGAGAAAAAGTAAAGACAAACTTAGAAAGAAAAAAGAAAGAGCAACAATAAGGCAAAGGAGAAAAAGGGAAAAATAACAAGCAATAAAAAGAAAGACAAAGAAATTATTTCATATTGATATCATAGGACCACTGCCATATTCGATTGTCCTGCTTTGCCCATGTTCAAGTTCAATATTCGAATATTTATTGGGGCATTTCAGGGGGGAGAATGACTTTATGATGTATTTTTAAATACTAATGTAACATAAGTTTCATGAGCCACTCAAAGTAGAGGTTTACTAGATGATCTGTGTGACATGAATCTAAGAGAAGATGTAAGGAAGTAAACTTTATGAGGACCAAGAGGATAATAAATAGATAACGATTGACCCTTAGGTTGAGTTGTAGTGTTTAAGAAAGCATCCACGTGGGAGTCTGTTCCACAAAGTAGCATTTATTCGGGAAAATACTGAGAGAAACTTCCCCACCCAACTGGAATACAGAAGAAAAGTCGATTCAATTCCGTAGAAGAAACATTGCATATCATAGCTGGAAAAGTCTGAACTGGTGGAACTAAAGAATGGAGCTCATCTGAACCAAGTAAGGCGGGAGTGCCACTAGTACGCAACGGGTTACAGAGAGTGAAAGTATGGGAAAAGACTGGGTATAGGGGTTTGAGGAAAGGATAAAAAGAAGAAAGGGGATCAAGGCATCAGATGATGTCGATTGATATTATATTTAAATTTTTGTAGAGTTATTATTATTATTATCAGGGTAGCAGGTAACAGGAAGGATGTTCCACTGTCGGGAAGTGCGAGGGGAAAATCTGTTGGAGTAGAAGAGACGGTTACATTTAACTGTATCAATAGTAAAAGGGAGGGAACTAGCTGCCAACCTAGTAGCACGCTTAAGCTCATGCAGTCTGGGCACCAGTGAAAATAGCTCGTCAGTGCACTTGTCATGATAATATTTGTAGAAAAGACAGAGGAAAACCACATCACGTCTTGGAAATAGAGATAGATTATCATCAGGCTTGCAATCTAATATCTGTGGAAAAGGCTGGAAAAATTGTCACACCCCCCCCTCTACAAGACGGCGTAAATCATTTAGAACTCTATAAAGGCTGGAAAGTGAGTTTTTTACAGCTCCAGTCCGGATATGACAGTATTACATCATTTGGGGTCTAATCTGACTCTTGTAAAGATAAAGCATAGTAGAAAGAGTCAGACACTTTCTAGTGCGATATAGAGTCGACCATTTTTTTTCCAGCCTCTTAGTAATAATTGGTACATATAAGTTCCCACTTAGAATTGGCGAAAACTTAGCCCCGAATATATCTGCAAAGCAATGTTTGGTTGAGAGTAAAATCGTTCATTGCGACGCGAGAAAACCGGTGATGATCAAAGGGTACTACATTGATTTATAACGTATTGAAAGTTGCGAGCCAGTTTTTCCTTATTGAGCTACACTTCTTGTACGATCACCGAAGTTAAGCAACGTCGAGCATAGTCAGTTCTTATATTCGTGAGCATTTGGGAAATGCAGGTGATGTAAACTCGGATGTGTAGGTTAATGAATAACAGCTTAGAATTGAAAATCGAAGACTCAAGCTCCAATTCCAGTTGAGTTTGTTAAGTTTACTTACACGCAAATTCTCTTAGGGAAGGTATGGATCCATATCTATTCCCAGCTATAGGTTAATTAATAGAACTTGTAACATTAAATCAGGATCACCCTCCCCAATAAAAAGGGTCGATAAGCCTTAAACAAAATTGTGCCTTGGAAATACGTCAATGGGTGCAATAAATATATGAAGCCTCATCTGAAAGTCGAATTAGGGCCTCCGATTACTTACTGGTTACCGGTAAGGCATTTGGTACCTCCGTCATATGTAATAACCTTGTGCTGACTTGTAAAAACACAAAATATAATCTCTCATACGTAACAGTGACTTCCGGACATCGTCAGTCACTGTCGGCCAGAAGGGTGTGTGGGCATCAAGACCTTGAAATGTGGAACCTATATTCTCGTTTGAATGTAAGAGATTGCCCTCTCTCTGTTTATATATCTGCCATCGTGTTTTCCTATGTGCATATATTATACACGCAGCTGGGTCGATCACGTGTTCACACGTCGGAGCTGCCTCTGACATCAGGTGAATTACAGATCTCCAATCTAAGAGATCATCTTTAATGTTAATTCTGCACTTCGTTTCTCTGAAGAACGCTGAGTGCAAAGTCTATTCTAGCATGCACTAAGGTGTATCCAATACGTACACATAGGATCCGCTCGACAAAATGCATAGAAAGGGGAAAATACAAACAAGCCAGCGAGGCTGAAGATGAAATTTACATAAAGGAGTAAAAATATTTCTTTTATGTCTTGGTTTTGTTACAATAAAGAAATTACATCAAGTTTTTTCTTCAATCTACGGATTCCTGAGGTACAGACCCTACCTTCTGTTTTTGTTAACTTTTTTTTACGTTTCCGTTCATTTCGTCACACCATTCTGTTCAGCAAGCGCAAAACTGAGCCAGTGGTTATTTTTTTTCCAAGTTGTTGGCCACGGATCTCCATTAAGGAGGATAGATAAGGCATCATAAATAAAAGAAAATATGTAAAAATAAAAGGAGGAATCATTCGCTAATTGCAGTCGTAACACTAAACAAATGATTGTCTCATTAGACTGAACTGTGGTCATTGATTTGTTTTTGTTCGATTACATGCCTAAGATGATTTTGTTTTCGCCAAAGTTTGGTCCACGCAGTGAATGCTTACAGTGACCCTCAACCCGGAGGGGTTATTTTAGTTGCTGAAGGGAAAGGGAATCAAGAGATGCGTTTATCCAGAATTTTGACTGGTTGTTATTTCAGTGTTGTGGGTGGGGTGTGAAACATGCCCAACATCAGCTTGGTTGATCCGCTTCTCAATCTTATTTTTTCCCTCTTACTTTCCGTTTGATTTTATTTTCGTTGTGGCTTATTTTCAATTGTTTTTTTTTATTGACAGTATAATTTTCTTTTGCAATTCTTTCGAACATTCTCTTTGTTCATCTATCTATCTATATATCTGTCATCTTCTTTTCATGTCTATGTATCTATCAGTCTCTCTCTCCCTATATATATATATATATATATATATATATATATATATATATATATATATATATATATATATATAAAAAAGAAATATAATGTGGTTCCAACGAGAGAAAAGTATGTATATTAAAAAGGTAAAAGGTGCCGCAAACGTTTTTAGTTGTAATGTGGATTTATTTAAAAAATATTATGCTTTGTATGTAAAACAAAGCATAATATTTTTTCTAAATAAATCCACATTACAACCAAAACGTTTGCGGTACTCTCTTCTTCTTTTTATATATATATATATATATATATATATATATATATATATATATATATATATATATATATATATATATACTTTTCATTATCTATATCCGTTCATCTCTCTCTCTCTCTCTCTCTCTCTATATATATATATATATATATATATATATATATATATATATATATATATATATATATATATTGTATTTCTATCAGCGTATAGTCATATTTATTCATCTATCTATACATTTTACCTCAATATATAATTATGTAACAAAAACAATTATTGTGTTTCATCGAAAAATTGATTTTTGGATTATAATGATTTTAAGGCTGGCAGTCTTGTTAAGAAAAGTTGATTTTATTTATTTCTCTGTTAAAATAATTATTAATCTTTGGTTAAAGCCCGTGGCAAAAATGGTGGTTGGAAGATTGTATTGATCTAATTTTCCTAATTGTTAATTTTTTGATTTGAAATCTGATTTTTTTTCTTTTGTTAGGCGCGAATAGCGAATATACAAGGTGTGTCTAAAATACTTTTACAAACTTTGGGGGAGGGTTCCTCACACCAAAACAAGGACAAAAGTCCATATGACCGCAAATCATTCCTTTTTAAGTTATTAAGTTTAAAGAAAGTTTACAGTAAATGGCGTTGTGTTACGATAAAGACGAGGTTATATTTATCATTTGTGTATATTTGTGGCTAGTCTGTCTTTAACGTTTAACATGTATAGTAGTGCGTTAACTGAGAAATGCTCCGTTTAACAACGGCAGGATATTCATATCGTGAGCAAGCAAATGGCAATGGACGCGAGGCTGTACGGCTATATGGGATTGAGTTTCCAGACCAAAGACAGCCGAGTCATTCCTAACTTTTCTGTTGTTTAAGCTGGGTTTTCCTGGGTAGGTTTGTCTGGCTCACTAGGTTTATATATATATATATATATATGTGTGTGTGTGTGTGTGTGTGTGTGTGCGTGTGTGTGTTTGGATGTATGTCTCTCTCTCTCTCTCTATATATATATATATATATATATATATATATATATATATATATATATATAAAAGATCTTACATACGGACAAACAAGTACTCACGACAAAGATGCATTTTGGTTTCGATGTGAA